TTTGCCTATAGTCCTCCCTGGCCTTGGGGATGGGTGCGGGGCAGTCAAAACTGGGGCAGGTTTGTTCGGCTCACCTGACTAATTCAAGACGACCTGGCCGTTTGGACCACCTTATTTGATGGGTTTAATGGGCGGTCTTCCTGATAGATTCCTGAGGTGTCCAGCTCTTCATGGATGAAGCGGGTGTGGTGGGTTTTGGGGCCATCTTGGGCTCCCACTGGTGTGCTGTCCTGGCCGACATCTTGGCATTTGACAGGTTTGACAAAGAACGTTCTTGGAACTCTTAGTGTTACGATTGCCCCCGGTCTAGCAGGAGGGTTGATCACTTGGATGTCCTGGTTCCCGCTGTAGAGAGTCGAACGGAGGTCCTTCGGTAGCAAGCTGCAAGTGTAGAATATCCCCAAGCACGAAATAAGCATCAATATCCCGGATCCCTACAACATGAGTCGAGGCTGCAAGTTGAGGGTCAAAACGAACTGGCTTTACTGGCACATAGCATGGCAATTTATGTAATTCCTCAGGTCCAAGGACAGCCCCCTGTGGACCTGATGGAGTACAGGTACAGTACAAACAGGTAACCAATCACAGTACACTGTATCATTTCAATTATTACCCGCCCAGCTTGGAGATAATGAGGCCAACGGTTTTACAATCTAATTATCTCCAAGCGCACAAAAGACCACGTTTTATTATGTCCCAGAAAACTGTATAAAAATCCATAACTTGTACATTATTATCGGAAAAACCATTTATTCTACCATTCAGCGGAAGGCTCGCGTTCGTATAGATGAAACAGGCGAATGGCGCTCTAATCTCACGAACGGAATGGTCTGTTCCTGCTGTATAAAGTCCGTTCGGCATTTTGAGATTGTGAGCGTTTGTTGGCGGCCATGTTTTCTGCTGATTTAGCGAGCAGCGGGACTTCGTGTCTAACTCCTGGAACTAAACTCGGTATCAGTTCATGCGAAGTCCCGCTGTTTGTCTGGTAGTGGGGCTCGTTCGGTAAGGGAATGGGGCCACCTGGTAGCAGGGTACTTGACCTGCGGTTAACCGCAGAAACCACAAGTTAATGACCGCCACGCGGTCCACGGTAGTGGGTCGTCGTTCTGTTGTTAGTTCGTTAGATTACGTTCGGTATTTCGAGGCGAACGTCGATGCCCCCAGGCTTATCAATTACATTGTGGTTAACCGCAAACCGCAGCTGCCTGGGTGGTTAATGGCTGCCACACGCCGCTGGCTGGGGGGTCGAGCGTTCGGCAGTTTGCGGGGTGACGGGGTTAAGTGGCGGCACACGCCAATTCTGGGGGGTCCCCTGTTCGTACCACGAATGAGTCCTATATAATGGTTCGGATAATCCGTTCGTGCGTCTTTTCACTTTAAACTTAGCCAGGGACAAACAGTATCCATCGGTTGGCAAACCGTAACATGGAGATGACCCAGCTGTCATGGTCCATATTGGTACCAATGACAAAGTCAGAGGAAAATGGAAGGTCCTAAAGAATGAGTTCAGGGAACTAGGAAGTAAGCTTAAGAAAAGGACCTCCAAGATAATTTTTTCAGAAATATTACCTGTGCCGCGCGCTACAGCAGAAAGGCAGCGGGAGATTAGAGAGGTCAATGCGTGGCTAAAGTCTTGGTGCAGGAAAGAGGGTTTTGGGTTTTTAGAGCACTGGGCCGATTTTGCGCTTGGGTACAACCTGTATAGTCATGATGGATTGCACCTAAACGGAAGAGGGTCTGCTGTGCTGGGGGATAGGATGGCTAGAAGGTTGGAGGAGATTTTAAACTAGTGGTAGGGGGGGAGGGTCAAAGCAATCTAGAAAATGGAGATATGATGGAAAAGAGATGGGCTTTAGCTCAGAACAAAGGGGGTGGAGATGGGGGGAGGGGAAAACTCAGAACAGAGGAGGTATGTAATATTGATAATTCACAAAAAGTACAAAAGACTCATGATAATATTAAATGTATGCTTACTAATGCAAGGAGCCTATATAACAAAATGGGGGAACTAGAGGCAATAGCATACACTAAACAATATGATATAATAGGCATAACAGAAACATGGTGGGATGAGACACATGACTGGGCAGTTAATTTAAATGGGTATACGTTATTTAGGAAGGATAGGAAAAACAAGAAGGGTGGTGGGGTATGTTTATATGTCAACCGTGAGTTAAAGTCAAATCTTAGGCATGTGGAGTGTGACGAGGAAAAGGTGGAGGCTTTATGGGTAGATATCTGCTTGGGGCAAACAAAGGGAAATCAATTATTGGTTGGGATATGTTATAAACCACCTAATGTAAATATTAATGAGGAAGAACAGCTGTTAGAGCAAATTGAGAAAGCTGCAAATCGAGGTAACACGTTAATTATTGGAGATTTTAATTATCCAGACATAAATTGGGAAAGAGGGACTAGTACTTCAGCAAGGGGAATCAGGTTTTTGAATGTGTTAAATGACACCTTTATGTCACAACTGGTACAAGCACCAACTAGACAGGATGCTTGTCTGGATCTTGTCATAACAAACAATGTTGATCTTTTAACCAACATTCAAGTAGGGGAGCATTTGGGAAATAGTGATCACAATATGGTAAATTTTGAAATAAACTCAAAAAAGCAAAAGCAGGTGGGGTATACTAAAACATATAATTTTTAAAAAGCCAATTTCAATAAGATTAGGGCAGCTCTACAACATATCGACTGGCATAAACTCCTTAGTGATAAAAACACTGAGGATAAATGGAAACTGTTCAAACATATATTAGAAAGGTACATTTCTCAGTATGTACCATTGGGTAATAAATATAAAAAAAACAAATTAAAACCAATGTGGCTTAGTAGAGAAGTAAAACAAGAGATTAAAAATAAGAAAAGGGCATTTAAAGCATTTAAATCAGACAAATCAAAGGCATCCTATTTAAGATATAAGGAAGCCAATAACACTTGCAAAAAGGCAATTAAAGTGGCTAAACTAGAAAATGAGAAATTGATAGCTAAAGAATGCAAAACCAACCCCCAAAATTTTTCAAGTACATCAATTCTAAAAAAACAAAAAATGAAAGTGTAGGTACACTTGAAACAGAGTTGGGTTTATTAGCTAATGAAGACCAGGAAAAAGCAGAAATTTTAAATAACTATTTTTCTTCAGTATATATTAATGAGGATCCTATGGCAAGAGATATGCAAATGTTTGCTGCAAAAAACTTGCAAATAACTTGTGACTGGATAACTCGAGACAAGGTGCTACAGCTATTAAAGAAAATTAATGTAAATAAAGCTCCGGGGCCTGACGGTATTCACCCACGAGTACTTAAGGAGCTAAGTGGGGAAATAAGTGAACCTCTGTATTTAATTTTTCAAGATTCTTTTGTTTCAGGTGTTGTACCGGAGGATTGGAGGAAGGCAGATGTTGTTCCTATATTTAAAAAGGGTTCAAAATCCTTGCCTGGAAATTATAGACCTGTGAGCTTAACTTCAGTAACTGGGAAAATATTTGA